CGGTCTGGACGCAGAGGCTAGAGGAAAAATCCTCTGCCCCCGTCAGGGATCGAACCCCGGTCGTCCAGCCCGTAGCTAGTCACTATACTGACTGAGCTATCCCGGCTCATCACTTAACCAGTACAGACGAAATTTAAACATGCCGGGCACCAAGTAGTATACACTCTACACACAAAACCTCATAAAACCCCAGAGTTATTAAAATGAAGCACTGACATAACCTCCCCATCATGTATCATTTTAAGCACTCTGTGCAAATAATGCATACAAACTGTCACATTCGTTTGGTGAATGAACTCAGGTGTCACACTGCAACTGCACTTGGGCTTGCAGCTCAGTTACGGGAGTATCCCACACAGAACACAGTACATGACTTGTCTGGTGCGGGAAAACATGAACTAATGATTTGTTGCTGATAACCTGAACATACAGCTCCACCTTTCTACCCTCAAACACCTAAGTACCAAAGAAAATTACCACTAGAGCCCTCAAATAAAAATGCACTCATACCTCAGATAGGCAGTACCTTATTTTCAAAATGTTCTAAACTTGCAATTATGGTAATGTTGAGAAAGATGTGTAACTTCAGCTTCTAGGAATAAGCCTCATTGAATGCTGTAGGTTTCCAAACCTTTAGGCAAACACTGCAGCTGCCATCTTGAGGGGAATGGGTGTTAGTGATCTTAGGAATATTTAAACAGAGATGGCCAGTATATGAAGCTTTGTGTTCCATAACATGTTGGAAACTTCTTGAGTGGCTCAGTGTCTGTTGGCTTCTCAGGAACGACTTGACTCCACGGAGAAAGCATTAAGTAAAGCTTCCAACACACACTCGCCCAAAAGATGGCAACTGCAAAGTCTACCAAAAGGTAGTAAACAGAATATTCTATGTAGCTCATCTCTGAAAGCCAAAGTTATATACTGAACTGTCACCATGAAAACCTAGGGACAAGAATTCTGAGCAGGAGCTTACAGGCTTCTTCTGTTCTAAAGCAAGTAGGCCAGAAAAAAAAGGCACGTGGCAATTATCACTGTTTTCAGGTGTTTAATGATGCTGAACCAAATAATGATGTTATGTAACATTAAATGATACCCAGTAGGATGTTCCTCAATGACAAAATCAAGAGGGATGTGGAAGGAACCAGACATGGTTTGCTCCAAGAGTGTCTCAGAGCCTATCCTTAAGGCTGTCATGAATTACAAATACTCAATCTTGGCAAGATCTGAATTCTTTAACACTGCACTAACCAGTTTGGTGTCATTATTTCAAAACTGACATATCATATGACAAAAATTTAATAGAATATTTGTACAGCTCCAAACAATGGTAATTAAGACTTCAAATGAAGTAACAGTTCATGCTAACCAATTTTAACACTGTTGAAATTAAAAACAATATTGCTAATCGCTTCCTTCTTATACCTGCTATGCAGAAACAATTAGACATGACAGCTGGATGGCAGACTCTTGTAAGTAGTGTGGCATTGAGACACTCACTTGCAGGAAGAGGAAATAAAGCTCCTGACATAAATCACTTTAATAGCCCCTGAAAATCCGGAAGGGGGATCAGACTTGTGAGAGGTCTACTGGATATCTGTAATGTGTTTGAAAATAAGACCCCAGAACATGGCAAAACATGTAACCTAGTTCCAAACTGTAACATGAACCAAACTTCGTTCTATAGAAAGCAACTCCATTTGCGATTTCAAAGGTTGGAACACATAACAATATAAAATTGTTTAAGAACGGTGAATTATTGAAAAACTGCTATTACTCACCACCATCTTCTGAGCACTGTGTTTTAGTCTTCAGATTAATATAGTACTTTTCCAATAACGGATCTGCATCACTTAATATAACCCGTGTCAGCTTCTTACAATGAGCCCTCTCAAGGAGCTGTGACACTTCAGGACTATAAGGTCGCCACCGTCCTTGTCGATTTTCCCATTCCCACACCACTACTGCATGTCCTGACATTTTAATTAATTCACTCCATGAAAACCGACCAATAACAAAATAAATTTTGGTTGTACTAATTCCGTATCTTCCCTGCACAAGACGTTAGCATTGTAGTTTCTCCACGAATCATTACATTTTTACTGATTAACCATATAATACGAAAGCTTATACATGTACGAACTTAGTAGTTCTTAAATATAACTGCTTATGAAAGAATTACGATTTTGTTCTCCGCTCATCGTACTCAAATCAAACGTTTCTATACACACACAAACTGTCAAACTCTCAAACTTCTGTACAGGTGGCAGTTGTCATAGATTGTACCCACAGCGGGTAGCAGCAATACATAAATTTGGAGATACACTGTTTGGCCAATGCCACAGATAATATTAACTGGGCTACGTGCGTTGTTGATGTTTCTACCATAGACTATCAACCCAAACATATGCAAGGTTTACATTCGTTCTTATTATTAAATTCCTTGGATCTTTAAGATAGAAGATATCACATAAAGTAATTAACTGTTTCAAATAAATCCATACATATACAGCAAATAAATTATATTAACCATGAAGATGGCTGTCTTCTGGGTTGTTGCGTCATGTAGTCTGACAGGTTTACCTACGTTTCAGAGGTTCTTGCTGCCTCCATCATCAGGGCGATGAATCTATATTATTTTAACATGTGAGGTGACATTTACTCAGCTCCTTCTATGAATGATGTATTCAACACCAATTCCCCTATTCAGTCCGGAGACCACGTATCAGACTTACCAATTCACTGCCATGAGAGAAATTTTGTTGTGACAGCAGAGAAAATGTTGATTCCAATTTTCTGGGATGATTATTGTATTATTCTGACAACTGGGGTTTAAAAGACACTACCACTGCAGAATGCAGCTACCTTGTGTAACAAGAAGTTCTTCATGGGTTTACAATGCAGCTCCCCATTGTGCTGAGGAAGTGCAAGGTTTCTTCTGAAAAATAATGTTCGGCTTATCCTTCATACTCGCTGAGCACTGCACAAAGTAGCTGCTAATTGATACCAACACTGAAATATTTTATTCATGGCATCACACAAGACAGTCAGCAGCATTTAGTGGCAGAAGAGATAAAAAATGTGGGACTTTTCAGGGACTTAATTGAAAAGTAATGTATGTCACAGTCCTTTGTTTCTTTTCTGTTTAATGAATTAGGACACCTTACAATTCCACTGTACCACACATAACTTTCCTTTGCTTAGGCTGGAAAATAATACTGCTTTCACACCAATGATGTTTCAATTTTGCAGAAATATGGTCAAGGGCTTTCCATGGTTCTCAAATGCATTATCCTGACATATCACTGGCTATGTGGGAATAGACTGTTCACCAACTTCATGTTCAATTTACTATACAGTTTGAATACAAGACTGTAAGTGCCGTTTGGGGTAAAAGAATTTGCAGGATACACTCTGTAAGCCCTACTGAACATTAAGGATATTCAATTTTATTCATATAAAACAATTTAGATAACCATGTTACTAAAAAATGTGGTTTGTTAAATGAAGGCACAGTATACAGAGTTTCCATGTTAGATTATGTTGGATTAACGAATCATTGTAATATTAAAAGTATAGAACAAAATCCAAGCAAAAACTGAACTTACATACTCTTTTAGCCAACTGCCCCTGATACTCTATTTGGCATTTAAAATTATTCCACCTAACATTCACTACATCAATAAATGTACCACATGAATTTTCTTTTCAGTTATTCTTGAATATAACAAAATGGCTGTGTGTCTAAAATGTACCTAGCCATAAAACTTATGGAATTACTTCACTATCAGTAATATCTAATCTCCTGATTTCTGGATCCTGGTAGTACTACACTCTTTGTGCATATAAAAAGATAAGAAGTTTGAAAGCACATTTAAGGAGAACCGCAGCTACAGTAACGTCAGTTTTCCAAAACCCCACTCATAGGATTCTTCACGTCTTTCTACTACCAAGCATTAACCCTACTAACAAATTTTACAACACAAACCAAGTGCAAATGAGAATTATCCAAGTTTTTCTCCATCAAGAGAGAAACATACTTTTTATTTACTTATTTTTGTATGTTTTAGTCATATACATTACAAATTGTAAACATCAAAACTACTGCAGTGATTTATGTTTGGATTAATGCACAACAGACTGTTGAAAGTACCCTCATGTGATGCAATGTCATGAACCATGGTAAAGAGTCCTTGGTGTCAGTAATACTAATATAGATCTTTGAAAATATTTTAAAAACAAACTGATGCACTGTAGTTATTCCACCCATTTTCCCACTCAGAAGACAAGAAATGCATATGTTTCTGAACAAATAAAAATAATGGGCACTGTGAAAAATGGCCTTGCTTTTTCAAAATTACGTTTTTCCTAACAATATTTCGAGCTGACTTCAGGCTTTCTTGATGGATTAGTGCTCTCGCTGAACCTGTGTTTGAGTTACGTGGGCTGTACTGCCAAAGTTTCAGAGGTCCTTATTATCAATGTCTTCAAGGTGAAGTGACTACTCGATGGCCTTCGCCAATACTTACAGTACAAGTCTACTGCTAAGCACTGAGCAACAGCCAAGAGCAAGACAAATAAGAGATCTACCCCTCCTATATATTTTGCCAATGGCTTTCATGCTTAAAGCTTTGCAGACTTGTCCAGTATTATAGTTAAGACAATAAACTGCCTATTAGAGTACATGGATCTGCATTAAGTATTACATGAGAAATTAAGCACTTTCATACATTCACACCATAAGAATTCATATCTAAACACAAGCACAGATTTAAGAATATGTCTGTCACTGTTTTATGTGAGCACAATACAGAACTTGCAGATTATGTATGAATACAGTTTTGTAATGTGATGCTACAGAATCAACACCATATTAACAATCTTATACAGCATAACAACCCAAAAGATGCAATGCAGTGAAGTTTCAATGAACAGTTCTGCCTGGAACTCATTTCTCTCCAAGCTCTAACTACAGGATTCCTGCCCCTGCCAGTATTTGACTTGTGATTGTAATGCGCCAGCAGCTTGATGCAGGTCTTAGTTTGAGCCATCGTCATCTGGATGTTGCAGCGGCCTGATGGTGCCTTCGTCCATGCCTGTTGTGATGGCTGCCACTGTTGCCTCTACCTCTATAGCCTCCACGCCCCCCTCTCCTCCAGTCGCCTCGATTTGGTACCGAGCTCCCTGTACTACCGCTCGTGCTGTTAAATAAAGGGGCAGCAGGTGGGAATAAAACACTGGGCCCTGCAGGATCATCTTCTCCCTCTTGTTCCTGCAACAGAAATTTAATTCTGCTATTTCAACACCTACAGATGTTAATATGTATGGCTCATAGATATGTTTGTTGCGTCATCATATCTGGGCCTGTACCTGAATAGGTACAACTTGAAGCTTTGTCCCTTATACAAAGGACTGAAAAACACAAGGTATTTTATAGAAATAAACTAAACAACCTACACATTTTGATGGTCTTCTGGGTTGCTGCACCATGTAGTCTGGTATACGTTCACCACTGTTTCAGAGGAGCTTTCTGCCTTCATCATCAGGGCAGTCTTGATGATGGAGGTACCAAGCACATCTGATGTACTGGTAAACTCCTACTGATGCAGGAGACGATCATCTTCATGTAGGATTTGAGGTTTTCGCAGCTGTGAGTCTGATGATGGAGGCAGCAAGGACCTCTGAAACGTTGGTAAACTTCTACCAGACTACACGGCACAACAACGCAGCAGACAGCCATCTTCTTCAATCATTTTCATATTCATTGTCATGAGAACCTGAAACCTCACATTTTGTTTAATTTACAAATTCAATACATGGAACTAGAATGCCCACAAAGCAGCAGCAGTATTAGCAGTCACAGTACTGGGATTATAGGCACATAAATTGTTGAGGCTATTTCTCCTACCTACTATTTAAAATGGACATTCAGAATATGCTGACAGAACTGGATAGAGAGTGCAGGTTATATGTAACAATGTGACATGCCTAAAATATAAATGCACAGAGGCTTTGGATACGCAGGTTATACAGCTTACTGGCATGCCATACGGTTCCAAAGGGACTGGAGATGTCAAGCACTGCACAACATATTGTCTGTGACAATGCTGTACCATGAGGTAGGACATTTAGTGCAAAGTCAGGCATTTTCATAGTCGACAGAAGATTAATCTGTCATAAGCAAGAAATAATGTCTGTAAGGTGCGAAAGATGCCGATGGCTTCTAAAAAGTGGAATGCATGGTTTAAAATGCCAGGGTCATCAACAAATGCTTGAATTTAATACAAATATACATCAATATCTAGAACTGCCACTTACTGTAGTATCTGTTACTAACAGCAGCTTCGAGTCCTCTGCTTCAGGATCAATAATACCACCTCGTCGCTTCTGGTGGCTGAAAAGGGCTGCCATTTGCCTCTGCAAGCTACGAAGCTCATCACTTAGTTCAAACTGTCGAGCATTCTCTACATCAAGAGGAGGTGCTGCACTTGACAACATATTCATATCACACTGAATCGGCTCCCGACATACAGGGCACAATACCTACAGAAACATTCAGCAGTTAACTTTACATACGACAATCAGTAAAATAAAAATTACGCTCTCTGGTATTTAGAACTGATTCAAATTCCCACTGATAGTAACTGAGAATATCTTAATGGCTAGTCCTCTATGAAATACTTTACTAGAATGTAACTTAGCATTGTAACCACATGCATATGTAATGCCACTATGGGCACTTGAGTTGTTACTTTCTGAGCACCAATTTAACCACCAAGAGTAGGCCAGTTTCTGTACTTAACCTTACATTCATATTCGGTACAAAATTCCATTATCATCATACGAACCTGGCAGGGAGACTGTGGGTGCTGGTTGCGCTGCCAAGCTGGTAACTTGTCTAACTCCTCCTGGTAACTCTTTTCACTACTTGTCACATGACATGCCAGGCAATGCGAATGGAAGTAGTGATAGCACTCCGTCTTGGTAAAGTGGTCACCTTCCCGAAACCCATACAAACAGATTGCACACTGACATGATGGGAGGTTACTGGCTGTCAGGTACTCCTTAACCAGCTGCGGAATTTGTGGAATGCAAATCATCATTCAACTGTGGATCTATGTGCTATTCAGACAAAGTATGTGCATACAAATCACATGGAATAAAAAAAGATATAAAGCACATGTTCATACAAGAAACAGAGAAGAAAATTGAAAGTTTACACTACATACTTTAAACAATGGCTGTACACATGGAAAAATACAGGAAATAAAAGGGACTGCCTATGTGTAAGAAGGTTAAAACATGAACATTTAAGGAAGTCTTAATATACATGAAAATAATAATAATAAAAAAAGGACGGCTCAAGGATGAACAGAATTATGAAGATACTAGTACTGACAGCTTGTCTGACTTATGTAGGATTTGACGTTTTCACAGCAGTGAGTCTGAAGATGGCTGTTTTCTTGTCTGACTTAATATGTGACCTACTACCAAAGACAATAATCTTACATCGACACAATACACGATAAAGCTGTATTTTGATGGCTATTACATGTAAACACGTTAAATTATAACACAACAGTATAAATTCTAATACACAAATAACTGAAATATGACTGATCTTGAACATACCTCAATAAGCTCATAGATGACAGCCTGACCACGGTAACTTTCACATTTTTCTTTAACTTCCCTATCTATCCTGCCAAGCACTGAATCATCCAGGCCACGGGGATTACGTAGCAAGATGTCTGGTGCTACATCTGGATAGCCAGGAGTCAACTCTACCACCAAGGTGAGGCAGACATACTGCTGCAACGCATCATCCGCAGTAGAAGGGAATACCACTGTCTCAACAGCTACTGGGTAGCCACTTATGAAATGAAAAATATACATTAAAAAATGCAGAATGGCATCTCATTTTTTTCTGCCATACACTGGTGGAAGTCGACAAGGAATAACAAAGACACACATCTGTTTTATAGATCCACACTACTGAACATTTCTTGAAAGTCTCTTTGGAAATCATCAAACTTTACTGATAGAAGAGTTGGGCACTTCTTCCACCAAGTTAGGCCCCAGCTGATTCAGACTATTAGCAGAACCAACAAACCTACATACTAAACACATTACAAATAAGAACTGCACAGATTACAGAAATACTCTTCACTGTTCCACACATATTCCTGGCACAAACATAAAACATTTAAATTCATGCACTGACGTTCTTGGAAAATAGAACTGCTCTCCTACATAAATTATTAAAGAGCTATTTTCTGAACAAAAATGGTATCATGCATGACATTCATAAATCCACAAAGGGATATGTACATGATGAGGTATCCATGATGATTACAAGATATAATATATGTCTCAAAGAAGAGTGCTCATAAGCGTTCTTCCATGTTCGATCTTACATTAGATGTGTGTGGATTTTTATCCTCATAAAATCATTACATTATTTCCACCAATGAAAAAGTTTTAGAGATGTAAACAATACCAGGCCCTGTCATGGTTTGGAGTTCACACTGTGTTGTAGGTCCCCATGATTAATGATCACTCTCACAAACAACTTATCATTTGCAGTAACAGAATTTACCACCCACGTGGTCCCACATCAGAAATGTGATTGTATCAAAGACCATACCTGGTTGCATTAGGTACAAACAAAGAAACTTTTAATGACCACAAAATAGTTTGACTTAACCGTTCCTTACACATATCAAATTCTCCAGACATTTAAATGCCATCACTTATTAGTTATGATTCAAAAGATTTTATTTTTCCCAGCACTTTCAAATTTCACTAATCCTTTTCATAATGAAGTAATAATTATAATAAACTGCCAAAAGAAAACATAATTTCATTGATTAAGTACATACATAGAATTATGGATGGTGTAAATTTTAATAGAGTTCTTCCATTTTACTAGCAATAAATGGGTTTCAACTGATTTGAAAATTTTACATGAAAGAAACTATTTTTTCTTCAATCCATATTTCCATCTGGTCGGCAACACTGAGTAAGTATCCTCTGTAAACTGCCACAATTTGAATCATGTAAGAAGAAAAAAGTCCAGTCTTACACAATAAATGTCCACGCAGCCGAGTTTCTTTTTCTCGTCATCATCATCATCAATAAAGCAATGTTCTGAATCCTTTTTCACATAAAAACATGAAACGCCATCATTGACGTAAAGGCATGGGATGATGGGGCAAATGAAGGATAATTATGAGACACTTACTTTTTAGTTTAGCTTTTCATGTGTTTAGCAGCTTGCTAAATTTAAAGTTCATAAAATTCCTCAAAAACAAGTTATCACACAAAAGTAGTGTATAGCATAAGAAGTAGATCTCATTAGTATATAAAACTTTAAAATCAAATGCTTTCCATATAGTGAATACCTAATAAAATACAATCAAATATAATTTAAGACTATGTGTAGGATATCTTTGATACAAATACCTTTGAAACAAGATATTATTTTGTATCTTCAGTAGAACAGAATTTATTTACATTCCATTAATCCTTCATAGGCCTAAGCCAAGAATGTAGAACAGGTCATAGCCCAAATACAATAATTGTTTCTAGCACAAATATAAATGCATAATTATAACAGCTATTTACAGATCTTTGGAACTAAAGTATTACAGCAAAATAATTATGATGAGAAACCATCACCATTGTTACTTACATGTGTTTACAAATTCTTCGCCTGAGTAGGAGTGAGATAGGAGATACTCTTTTAACGCCGGCTTAAACATTTTTATATCGTGGTTTAAACTTTTGATAGTAGGTGGAAGATAACTGAATAACTTAACTCCAGTATAGTAAACTCATTTTTGATATTTACTGAGGTTAGAATTTGGCACATGAAGGTTTTATCTGTATCTTGTTCTTATATTGTGGATATCTGAATTTGTTTGAAATTTTTCCATGTTATCCACTACTAAATGCAAGCAGTGATGTTGTTGCTAGCTTGAACAAATTATTTAAACCCAGTGAACTTAAATTAAAATTTGACAAACAAACTTAATGAAACTTGCTACTATTAACAAAATATGCATTAAACATATATGGCTGTCTAGTGGGACAGCTTTACTTTTACTTTTTATGGCTGCCTTCTGGCTTGTAGCAACCTAATAAGCAAGGACCTATGAAACATTGGTAAACTTCTTCCACACTACATGTCACTATAACCCAGAAGATAGCCATCTAGAAACTCAGCACCATGAAAACATGAAATCCTACTTAATTCAAACATAATTGTGATAATAAAACAAAACAAGAAACATGAAGAACCAAATTCCTTCACTTAGAAATTGAAAACTTCAAGAGAAGAAAACCACTAAATATATTATCCCCAAACATGCTTTGCCATGAGGAGAGTATGAAAACAGATACTTTAAATTTAGGTTACTGTTCTTATTTGCATTCCATCATGTCACATGAAGTTATGTTATGAGGAAATTCAACAGAGAGCAAAGAAGTATCAAACGTCCAAAAGAAAATCACTAGAATAACAAAGGCAAGTGTTAGAAGAAAAAGTCTTTCATAGAGAACAATATAAGAAATAGAATATACTTCCCTTTGCAAGTAAACTCTTACTTTCTAAACAATTTTAATATACATAGTATAAACATGATCTCATATACGGAGTGCTAACCTCACTAGTTATCAAATGGAAAACTGCGGCATATTAAAATAAATAAAAAATAACTGCAATGCACATCACTGCACTACCATTACCCCTATGTCTAGTGTGTCCGAATCTAGAAAACACGTAAGGTTACAAGATTATTTAATGAAAAATAAATCTTCAATGGGAAATGCCGCTGCAAACATTTTAACTACACGTAAAAAAAATCATTTACATATAACGCACCGTCTAAAAATTTGACATGCATGAACGGCCGTCATTAAGCACAACCAAATGTCTTGGTAACAGTGAAACATGTAAATAGATATTACAGCTAACCTTTCATTAGTCCGCACGATCAACTCGTCCATCAGAATGGCCTTCAACGCTTCCACCTCGTCAACTACCCTGCCAAACACAAAAAAGAATTGGCAGAATACCTATCTGTCAAAACCGACATAATACTGTGGCTTCTTCCCCTATTATGAAGTGACATACCTCTCGTCTACGTCGTTCGACATATTCCTCGTTTTACACTTGTAGTTCCTAAACGAACTTCACAGTACAATATTAAATTTAAACTGAGGAAATAATTACTTTAAATGACAGAAACAGTCAACACATTCCATCCTGACTTAAGTCATGTTGAGAAGTAGTGTATGAAAGACAGACGACGTATGAAATATTAATCGTAAAAACACCATATTGCTCTTACAACATAGAAATTTCCCTGTACACATCTATTCGGAAACAGTACACTAATCACCTAAGCTTGGCACAGAAGATCAAGCACGGCCCGTCACCTCATGGAATTAAACACAGATGCTTAATTAGTCGAATGAAATAACGGAGGATACAGTACAATCCCATTTATCTTCTATGCTCCCGATTTTCCAGGTTGGGTGAAAATATATTTTCCCTATGCAAATATAACATATTAACGAATATACACTGCAAAGGATAAGAATGGGGATCTGCTGGTAGATTCCCACATTTTGAATAGGTGGAATTAATCCTCTCAGCTATTGAATGTTAATGGGGTTTGTGAAGTTTAAAATAGTTACTGCAAAGTTGAAAAGTTATAAATCGCCGAGTGGTGATCAAATTCCGGCAGAATTGATTCAAGCAGGAGGTGAAACATTGCGTTCTGAGATTCATAACTCCTTAACTCTCTCAAAACGTAAATATTAAAATATACATAGGTGAAACATTGCGTTCTGAGATTCAGAACTCCTTAACTGTCTCAAAACGTAAATATTAAAATATACAGAACTATAATTTTGCCTGTAGTTTAGTATGGGTTTGAAACTTGGTTTCTGGCATTAAGGGATGAATGCAGACTGAGGGTGTTTGAGAACATGATGCTGAGACATAAGAGAGATGAATTACTTGGAGGGTGTAGAAAGTTGCATAATGAGTAGCTTCATAAGCTGTACTTTTTGCCAAATATTATTAGACTTATCAAGTGAAGTAGGATGGGATGGGCAGAGCATTTAGCTGACATAGGAGAGAAGATGAATGCATACAGGGTTTTGTTGGGCAAACCAGAAGGTAACAGCCCACTGTGGTGGAAAACATGGATAAATTTAAAAGAAATACAGATGTACATAATTTAAATACAAGACGTAAACATGATCTCTATGTGCCAAATGCTAACTTTACTAAATATCAGAAAGGAGTGTACTATACAGGTATCAAGTTATTTAATAATCTTCCACCAACAATTAAAAGTCTAAATTATGATATAAAGGTATTCAAGCCTGTATTGAAAGATTACCTCTTTACTCACTCCTTCTATTCTGTAGATGATTTCATCTCTGCTGAAAATGTTTAAGCTTTATATCCATAATCTACGTATATGTAAAGCAAGTTTTGTATTTATATTTAAAATTCTGAGGTTTATGTATATTAATTTGTAAAATTATTTTTCATACTTGTATTGCAGAATCTGAAATTTATGTACATTGATATGTGAAATACGTTCTTGTACTTGTGTTGAAAGTTGTGAAGTGTATGTATATTGTATGAAATGACATGTTCTACATCCTTTGGTTGAGTCCTAAGAAGGATCTATGGAATGTAAATAAACTCTACTCTACTCTAGGTGGGAGATAATATTAAAATGGATCTTAGAGAAATAGGATGGGGTGGTATGAACTGGATTCATCTAGCTCAGGATAGTGACCAGTTGCGGGCTCTTTTGAACATGGTGATGAATCATCACATTCTATAAAATATTGGGAACTTCTTGACTTGGCTTATCAGGAAGGACTCTGCTTCATGGAATAAGTGCAGATATGCAATTTTGATTTGTTACTGTTCTCAAATATTTGAACTCTGCCACATTTTCAATACTTCAATGACCTCAAGGCTTGCAAGAACAACATTAAAAGAACTTACAAATTTTATGAGAGAATTGGTTGTTAACAGCCCCTGTGATTAAGCTCTTGCTCTAGCTCATTTTTCAGCCAAATACCTCATTTTGTTTGGATCCACAATCCTCTCACATTTCTTTCAATTACACCATATATTTCCTTCCACCACACTTGAAATTATCTTGATTTCACTCACTTTGGACTCTTTACATTAGAAAACATTTGAAGAACTCTGAAATAAACACACAATAAATCATCTATGAAACAAACACAGCATTAATAATGTTGTTCTGGGTTCTGGCACCATGTGGACTGGTCAGTAGATCCCAACATATCAGAGAAATAATCCAACATCCTGCATTTCGTACAACTGAATGTCCTTGACAAACTGCTGTTAATTCCAGTGTTGCAAACCCACAATGGCACTAATTACAAAGTTTTAAAATATGCCAGTCTGCCATGCCACAGCCTGTATATAAGATAATATTTCAGGATATTGGTGTTAAAAGCTATAGCAATAGTAGTGAAGATAGTAAAAGGAAAGGTTCATTAAGAACGGGATTATTTTCAAAAGACACATAATTAAAGTGGCCAATCTGTCAGCTGAAATTCTATTGAATGTAAAACTTTGTGAAATGTTACCACTGCCATGACTGTGATCCTACTTCATTGGAAGTGACTATATGGACAACTGCTGCTCCAACTGGTAGGTAACTAACTCTTAGCTCTCCATGCACTATAGAAAATGAGAATTACCACAGAACCATGAAAAATTAATGACAAATAAATGACCTCTGGTGCGATGAAGGACCACGTGAAGAGAGGACTTGAGGGAAGACAATGAAAACAGAGCAGGGAAAGCAGAGATAAGATGGCCCTACTGAAGAAAAAGCTGGTGATGATGACAAAGAACAAAGAACAAGGTTCACGAGATAGGAATTCAGAAAAAAAACACTCCAAACCATACACTACCGTCTATAATGTACAAAATGTATTACATAATAGCAATAGCAATAATAATAATATGTATAATCATATATTTAATGTATCATAAAAAGTCTGGAACACTCTGAAAAGTTAATGCTGGTTTCTAACTTTGTTGGCCCCTTTCAAACTGCATATAACTTAAATTGAAGCAACAAGCAATTTTTCAGGCCTGTGAGTACGAAGACTTAGAAGTCCGGGATAGGAATTAAAGTACAAGAGTTCACTAGCTTATCCTAAAAGCTTTCAGGGGATGTCCACTAGTTACGATAAACCACGACTTCTCTGTATGAAGTATCCATCAATGCTACGTTACTAAGGCTAAGTAATTATACTGTGCAGTTTACACCAACCAGCTTGACATCACATTTTATATATTCATTCACTCATTTTGACACACAGGTATAACACTTTCTGTTTAATCCATGGACAGCTACTACATACAAAGGCAATAAATATTATTGCATGTCTTCATGTTCTGTATACTTCAATATACATGGCATCAGCCGCCTATACACACACAAACTGGAATAAACAGCTGCCATGGGGAGCAAACTGTTACATGACTAGATCCAATCAGCAATATTGGCCAAAGAACATTAAGGATAGCGTACCTTAAAAGGTAGATAGACACACACACACACACATATTTATAAATATATATAACCTGCACCTCCTATACTTACACTGCAGATGAAAAATTCACATTATGGATTACCACCTATCTCACAGTGATTCATTCAAATGCATATCAGATAGGTATGAACTTATCAAAAAGACTGCTATGCTATGAAAAGGAATGGATGACAGTATAATGGAAGTTATGTTAGCTGGTTCTCTTCTTATAATTGGCCATGTGCATGTATATGATAAGATAATTACAACAATATGTGGTTTCCAGCTGCCATAAATTTGCTTGGCAACTGTTAAAAGCTGCAACTGAATAGACATTATAGCAAATGATTTCCTATATTGCTATATTTATGTTGGTACCACTGTTGGCAATTGTAAAATCATAGCACTTCTGGAATATTTGTGCTGTCTATGTTGACAGTGCATCTGTAATGCATAGAAATGACAAATGAAGATCAACCACATATGAACTGCAATAAGACAGTAGTCTCTCGCTTATGTCTGAATTAGTGCACGTTAATATGGAAATGTCTAGAAAGTGGCATACCAAAGGACTGATTTCTTTGATGAATGCATAAGCTGGGGAAGGGACCAGAAATGTGCATGATTCATTGGGTTAAAATTAGCTTGTTCAGATAATTTACAAAGTGTATGTAAAATGTTTACATACAAATGATTGGGTGGGTGAAATGCACTACAGAATGTTAATAAAATTAATGTTAACTTCAGTAACAATTTGAATGTTACATACATTTTTTGCCCATGATTCATATTTGCACCGTTCATGGGTCACGAATGCGATAAAAGCTGTCAGAAGATGAAAATCTCTGACGCTTATTAGAACTGATTATAACAATTTACTTGTCACATTCATTTATGTACAAACTGAGATGGTGTGATTAAGCTGAACAATTTCCTGGAACAAAACAAATTCTTCCACAATTGTCCACATACTGGACAGAACCTTATAATTATCTCAGCTCTGCTGCTGACCAGCATGGCACTGAAGGAAGTAGCACAGGATACCAGCTTGAGCCATCACAATGAATGTACCAGCAGCCAAGGAATCGCACTGCTGCTGTCGCAAACCAGATTCAGATTTCCCGCAGCCAGGACGGAGTAATGTTGGGCCAAATACTGTAGCCAGGTTGTGCAGTGACATTTTGTTTTGCACTTTGTGCTGGTTAACCCTGAAAATATTGAAGGCGATGTGTAGAACCCGGGCTACTGAAGCCAAGTGGAAACTGATATTCAATAGGGGCATTTAATAAAAGAATGTAGAATAATTTGCCAAGTCATAATTATAAAGACATTAACTTGAGTAATTCCAGGTGTTTTCTGATTCAGACACAGCCTCCAATATGAATGTTTGGTGCAGTATAATGCAATGCCAGTGAACATGAGGTTTTGAAGTCATTCAAAATTTGTTAAGAGTATCAAATTAAAAGAAATGGAAACAGTTCACAGTCAATGAGAAAGTAAACATTCTGAAAGCAGTTAATTTAGCAAACAGTGTTGGTCTTTCCCTTTCACCTATCTCTTTTTTTAAATACCATAAAACATTTAATTTAATTTGCCATTTCAGTTCAAAACAGAAAATGTCAGGATCCCCAGAAGTACTAGTACATGTCATAGTCATAACTTTCTCTACTCATTCTTCATTGAACTGTCTTACCTGACAAGATGAGCCAGGAGATAGTTGATAATATTCTGATTTTGTTGTGGTAACATGCTGAAACATTGGTGCAGCAAGGCACTGTTCTTGTTGGCTGCATCATTACCACCTGAGCTTTTGTATGCCTCTAAAAACTTAGGATAAAGCTCGTCTGTAAAAAGAGCTTCGGGTAGTTCCCGCAGGTACAGTTTCAAAATTCCAGTCACAGAGTGAATGTCTACTTCCTTCAACAGTTGCTCCGCCTCATATGAGTCTGTTACAAACATAAAAACTGAACATTATGACAATCAACCAACATGCTACAACATGTTGTGAAAATATAAATATTATAAGCATAAAATCTATTGTCTTTATGGGAAGTAGATTGCATTTTCTTCTTAAGCAATAATGCAGACAATTTTCTACATGCTAGCCAGAATTATGGGATACACCGATCTCATCAGATGACTAAGTAATATCAGCTCACAATGTGAATAAATTAACTTGCACATACAGGATGAAAATTTCAACAGGAAAATAACAAAAACTTGCCGGGGCTTCAGCATAACGGCCTTGCCTTCTGGCGGCCGCGTATAGGCACAGAGCTTTGGCGCCATCCATTTTCAGGGCTATTTGCTACCGAGTATATAGGAAAACAGTTACTTGATGTGTTTCACACTCACTTGTCTCAAAAGACTTCTTAAGGCGGCCCAGATCAGAGGCAGAACCAGACACTCTATAGATTCCAATTTCTGCCATACCTCTGCGCTCAACTTCCCTTACACATGCTGTCACAATAAATGGAACTTCTCTTTTCTGACGCCTGTAATTAATTGTCAGGATTATAAATTCTGTGATTACATTTCACGAGGAAGATTTCTGTACAAATTTACATCATATTAAAGCTAAAGATGTATTCAGTGAACATATTTTCATCACATATGACATGAAGGATTCTAAGTGGTTTATCTTTCAATACTCATTGTAAAGCATAAAGAAAGCCACAATGTTAGGTGCTGAAAAATAATTACTTCAAAGAATGAAGTTCTCTGGATCAATCAAAAATAGATTAGCACTACTTAGCTTTATGGCAAACAATTACATGTGGAAAATTCATTAACTTCAACAGATATTGTGAAATGTCTGAAGATGGCTGAATGTAGGCAAAACATGTAGGATGGTTGTTTGAAATCAACAGTTGTGTTAATGCGTAATTTCAACTTCTGAGGATAGGCTATGCTGAATGTACCCCCAAAAGCCAAAGTTAAACATTGAACTCGTCATGAAAACTCAAGCACAACAGTGTTAAGACAGTGGGTATGTAACACAGTTACAAAATCAACTTACTTGCAAACCTGCTGGATCTTGGCGCCAAACAGGCCAGCTGTGCGAGCTGTTGGTACGCGACGAAGTGTCACTTCACTTGGTATGAACTGTAGTGTGACCAACAGTGAACAGTTGTACATAGGAACCAACTTATCTACAGCCTTCTCTCCCAGCCATGACCTACTCAACTGGAAAAAATATTTTAAATAGTTGAATAATACCATTACCTTCACCACTTTCACCATTCACATGCATTCAATTTATGGTCACTGTCAAACTCAAAATCTGATAAATGTTCTTCCACTAGTTCATAACACAAAACAGCTGATCACCTCCTACTTCTATGTCTTAACCTACGATACAAATTTATAGAGAAACAGAAGAATCTGCAGCAGAAATATTCATGCAGCAAACACACAAGTCAACCAATCTGTTTTAAATCATACTGATCTCTACATACACAGTTCACAGAAATAATCTACAGCAAGGACAGGCACCAACCATTATTATGTAGCACACAATCAGGACAGTGTCCAGTTGTAGGCCAAGTGATATTAAAATTTGAGGTTCCATAAAACATAGGTAATTTCCTGACTAGCTGAGTAACTTTCAACTTCTCAAGACAGAATATGGTCCATGGATTTAATCAATTAACAAAATGATTACATCACAGTAACATCATCTTATGGTACTACTGTTTATAAACAATGTAAGAGGCCTCTTTCTGAATATGTGACATTTTGTTGTTTGAGTAAGTTCCTTGTTACAGAGCTTTCACCATGAAAGCCTATTCCTGAAGTGGTTCACATCATCACAACCTACATTCTCAAAATATTTCTTTCAATTTAGTGTTATAAAATCTTTATATATTTCTTGTGTTTCCCACATATCCACCTTTGAGATACACAGTAATTTTAAGAATAGTACACTTTTGTGAACAAAGTGATAAAACTTTGGGTTCTGTAACAGTAGGAATTTCTTGACCAGCTCAAGGAAGGGCCTGAAGTGTAGTCATAAAGAGAGTATACAGGTATAATATTTTTCCTCACACAAGCATAAGAACAGCTCCAGTTGCTTTACCTTTTGTGTGCTTTTGGCTCGAAGGATAGCACGATCCTGACTCTCCTCATACAAGAGGATACGCAAATTCTGCGAGCCCTCCAGCTCAATAATAAACTGTTCATTCCAGCGGGGATTAGCAGAATTGCACACCAATTTTGACTTTGCCTTACGAAAGTAGTGGCCATATGAATCCACCTCGACACACACGAACAGGTCTGTTGATTCAAAGAAAAAAAAGTCACACAGTATCTGTAAAAACACTTTCCACTTATAATATTTAGTTATTTACTTACAGTGTATAGTTTATTTAACGATGCTCATTATAGAAAATGGTACAAAAGTATATCCCCATTTAATACAAAGCAGGATACGCTACAAAGAGGAAACTAATATTGTGGAAACTGGGACAGGAAACATTACACTGAGGAAAATATTAAATAGGGACTTCAGCATACAATGAAATTTGAATAACAGAGAAGTGAAGACAATACACAAAAACTTGAACTAAACAACATGGTATTTCAAACCAAAACATTTTATAGTTAGTATTGCTGTAGAAAGCTCACGATTCATTGTACGTATAACAATTCTGTACATCTGCTACTGTTCCACAAAACCTACACACAAAGAAGTGGTTCTGCTTATCAGCACCAATAAGTACTGCAAGTAAAAAAAGATAATGAGACTTCTGACAATGATGTATTTGTGTCTGCACAAGGTGCAAATAGTGAGCACAATTCTCTAACCGTTCACCATCTAAACCAGCGAGTGCCTACCTGCAGGCTGGTCAAGGTCCTGCAGTTCCCTCAGGGTCAGATGAAGGTCACCAACCAATAGGCTTTCATCCCGACCAGTTCGCAAAAGATACGAACCCATATTCGTCTTCAGGAAGGTTCTGCAGGCAGTGATCCATGCTTGAAGTTCATACATACTAACTACGTTTGTTCCACCGGGACTGGGAAGTTGGCAAGACTGAAGAGGAAATAAACATATTTTAACTTATCATATTTGGACCCAAGAGGGATTCAATGAGTAGGCATTATAAGGTATGTAATGAGTAACTTCATGATTTATACAGGTAACCCATATTTGTGAGGACAGCAAAATCTATGCTACTAGAAATGGTTTTAACCTAGGGGGGAGGGAGACAAGAAATTCATACAGCATTTTGGCTGCGAAAGTTTTTCTTTTTTTAAAATTGGCCACATGGAAGAAAAGGAACTGGGAGGATTGCACTAACACACATCTCATAAAGATTCACTGTGAAGATGTAAGATGAATAGAAATTACCCTTGTTTACACTGACTGGTGGGCTTTAGTAATAGCAATGTTGAACCATCCTGCAGAGTTAGTAGCAAAAGATGACAAGACCGCAACAAACTGAATCTCTGGGTACATTTTCTTGCACACATGAACATGCACAAGCTGTTACAAACAGGCCACGTTCTAAAGTTCACTCACAGTCCCTTTATGAACTGACAACACACTTCCCACAGAAACAATCCTATACTTATCCACATATTATGTCCCAAAACAAGACAAGCATCCCGATTCGTATAGCAGTTTTAAGAAAAAGGTGTACTCATGATATCTTGATAACAATGTTCAATCCAAGAAGGATGGGATCACTGGGGCATATGACAAGCCTGAAGACCTAGGCATAGATGGAAGATATTAAATTGTATGTTAGGGAATATAAAATAAGTAAACAAACAACTATTAACACTATAAAAAGACACTATTGCCATACGCGTTTCAACCTCAAGAGGTCATCATCTGTGGCATCAAGGAAATTAATTCATTTAATCAAATGGTTTAATGGTTCAAATGGTTATTGGATGGGAGGGATATGGATTGGATTCATGTGGCTCAGGAGAGGGACCAGTGGCAGTCCCTTCCATCAAAGGCCAGAAATTTGTTGAATAGCAAACTTATCAAGAACTTTTGTTGACATCTTCTTTCATTCCTACACTTAATCCATAATTTGGCTGAAATATATATCTGAAATGAAAAATAACTGAAAGCAATACTGTTGTAATACCAGTAAAGACAAAATAAAAACACGATTCTACTTCACATTCACAAGAGCATAACCAATGGGCTGAAGAACATTCTGCCGATTGTAGACCTTATGTTGAACTACTGTGAGTAGTTACTGACAGCAATGGTTGCTTCATACACATGGTGAAATTTTGGAATGAAGGTTAAATAACAACTCTGCCTTGCACATCTCCTACAACGTACAGCACAGATGTTTAATTTCTACATAAGCTCAGTACCAAAAATAAAGATTTAACCAGAAATACACAAAAACTAAAACCTGTCAACTTAAAAGTTGAACTCTGTATCCAAAATGATTATTAACTTTTGCTGCCTTCATACACTGTCTCTGGAAAAAGTTACTTTCATGTGCAAACTGAAATTAGGAGTGTATGATATTATTGCCCATAGAAAGTCTGTATCATAAAGTATATATTAGGTTTTGACAATGATATGATTAAAGTCAGTATATTTCAACAATGAAATGCATGTAACATAATATATTTCTTAAATTCTGCCTGAAAAAATCCAACAGGCACATAATAATTCTGTTTGGAATGCCAGCAGCCAAACACTAAAATAAACCCAACACTGCTACATCCCCACTTTGTATTTCAGAGGTACCAAATTCAAATCTTGGTGTGGTGACCAATTATACTGAT